ATCCAACCAGCACGAGAAAGGCGACTCCTGTCCAGATGGCCAAGCTGCGACACAAGTACAAAGACGACCCGCAGGCCTTCGTGGAGGAGATCATCCAGACGCACCTCTCTCGCCCGGCAGGCGAGAGTCAAATGGAATACTGTGGGGCTCCCAACGAGGAACTAGACGCGGAATTTTCCATGCAGGAAATTAGAGCAGTCCTCCAGCTACTGAAGACTAAATCGGCACCCGGTCCTGACAAGATCACCAACCGAATTCTGAGGAACCTGAATGATGACGCCACCGAGAAGCTACGCCAGTATATCAACGCATGCTGGAAGGAACGCATGCTGGAAGGAAGGCCGTATTCCACAAGAATGGAAGACAGCGGATGTCATAATACCCAAGCCAGGTAAACCGCTTGAGGTTCGAAATATGAGGCCGATATCTTTGATGTCCTGCGTCAGGAAAGTCATGGAGCACGCCTGCCTCAACAGGGTGACGACGATTCTCGAGAAGCGGGACGCCTTCGGCACTCAAATCATCGGCTTCCGCAGAGGACTTCCGACGCAGGATGCTATGCTGCAAATCAAGGAACACGTCATTAACGCACCAAGCACGCACGTGCGCGCTCTGTTCGGGTTAGACCTCAAAAGCACCTTCGATACAGTAAAACATGCTGTCATTTTGGACAAGATCAGCCAACTAAGTCTTGGTTCAAGGTTCTACCAGTACGTCAGCAGCTTCCTGACCGGACGCAAGGCGACGATGAAGGTCGATAGTGCCCCACCACGAACAGTTGACATGGGGGGTGCGGGTACGCCACAGGGCTCAGTGCTCTCTCCCATGCTTTTCAACCTCATCATGATCGGACTACCGGACCGTCTCGACGCAATAGAGGGAATCAATCACACGATCTACGCAGACGATGTGACCGTGTGGACCACAGTGAATACGAGCGTTGGTGAAATGCAAGAGAAAATGCAGCAGGCCATCCGGGCCGTGGAGCGGCACCTCGAAGGCATGGGACTCACCTGCTTTCCCCGGAAATACTCCTGCATAGACCACGCAAGAAAGTACCTCACCCGCAGGCTGTACTGGACGCCCGTCGCTTGGGCATAAGGAGGGGACCCAAATAACAACGGTGTCCAAAATACGAGTGCTCGGCCTGTGGCTGGAAGAGAACGGTGCGAAACACGAGCTGGTAGCACGAATGCAAAAGAAAGTGGCCGCCGCAACGCACCTTGTGCGTCGGGTAGCGAAAAAAAGAAAAGGGCTAAAGGAACAAAACGTGACGAAGTTAATACATGCGTATGCGCTGAGCCACATAGCCTATGTCGGCGCGTGGCTCGCTGGATTTCGTGCCGACCGGTTGTGCGCCCGCGCGCTTGCGACCTTCGGCGTCACCGTAGCTCTGGCCGACTGGGCTCGCCCTACGTCACCTCCTGCCGCCGACGGCTTTCGACGACAGTGAAGCTCCGACTTACTGGACCTGCTCTACGCTATCTACAGACGCCGACAACATCTCTCGCAAGTGTACCCCGTCCTCAGACTCCAGTGACCGTGCTTCCATCTTTCCTGTCTCTCCTATCCCCTCAGTTTGTTGTTGCTTCTTCTTCCTCTTGCCTATACCTTTACTTCTACCCTTTTTATCCCTCCTCATCCCCATCCCTTGTGAGCCCTGTGGCGGTGTCGCTCACTGAAGCAGACAATAACGGGGCTCACTTTTCTCTTCCTTTCTCTTTATTAAGAACCACTCATATGTCGCCGCGTATGCCGACTGGAACAGAAGTGAAACCGAGAAGCTGAACGCAGCGATTCGTCGAGCGTTCAAGGTAGCCATGGGTGTGCCCCAGTACACGGAAACCCATAGGCTTCTGGAGCTGGGTGTGCACAACACTCTCGACGAGATAGCAGAAGCGCAGAGGATCGCGCAGCTCGAGAGGTTGTCTGGCACAAGAACGGGAAGACGCATTCTCGATCTGCTTGGGATTCGATATCACGAGGCGCGTGGACTGAAGGAAGCATTGCTACCAGAAGTCAGGGACGCCATACTGACAGAAAACATCCCCAGGAACATGCACCCCGCTCACGACTTGCAACGACGCAAATGCAGAGCTGCAGCAATCCTGAAGGCGCATGGAAGCCAAGAGGGTGTCCTCTTCGCGGCCAGGTATCCACTGTCAGCCGGCGGCGGCGATGGGGGACGCTCGGAACCCCCGCCGCTACCCGTGAACGAGCAAGGCGAAGTCGAGGTGCTAACACTACCACCACTGCTACTGCTACAACAACAACGACTTCAGCGACAGCGGCAACATCAACAGCGAGTCCGGTCAGCGGCGAAGGGACCTGCTTTCTCTATGGCGGTCCTGGATACAACAGGAAAGGTTCGGGTCACGGCATCAGTATGGCTGCCATCATCCGAAGCTGCAGAAGAAATGGCCATAGCCTTAGCGGTACTCCACAGCGGTGCAGACGACAGCCTGATTATTAGCGATTCTAAATCAGCGATTCGGAGCTATATTAAAGGATGGGTGTCGCAGGAGGTGGCACGCGTGCTTAACGCCAGAGCTGGGGACTTCGCGTCAGGCAAGATTATTGACAAGGCCCTCAAGTGGTTTCCCGCTCACATGGGGGACAGTGAAACTATCAACAACAACAGCCGTAAAACTAGCAGCAACAACGCCAACAGCCAAAGACTAACTGGCACCCCACCCAACCATAACGAGCGCGCCCATTTCGTCGCGAGGCAACTTACCCGCCGCGACGCAGCCACCCAGGGAGCAGCCGCCACCGTGGTTGGGAGGAGCACCGGCCGAGGCATGGTGGTGGCCACAGGCACTGGCGATGCCGAAATTACCACCCCCACCACGTCCGTTGCTGCAGCAACTGAAGTTGGTGCAGAAGAGGCAAGACAACAGAGGTGCGCCGACTGCTATCGGGAATAATTTCCTGCCACGTACCACGACGTGCTTGCGCACTATAGGAAAGACCGGAAGAAATTTCCGCAACCCCACGTGCGCCTGGACAGGTCGCAGGCGGTGGACCTGAGAAGGCTGCAGACGGGCACGTTCACCAACCCCTACCATCTGCATCGCTTATGGCCCACGCTGCACCCGTCGCCTGGCTGCCAGTGGTGCGCGCACGAACGGGCCGATATGGCACATATACTTTGGCAATGCGAAAGAGATGAAGATAGGCCACGAGAAAGGATGACGCCAACTGAGGGACCCACCGAAATGGGGCACCTTGCTGAGCGATGGCAAGCCGCCCTTCTCAGCGAGGCCTTCGAAGACCAGGTGTGGGCCGTCCAGCGGGCCAGGGCCGTCGCCGAGGACCTTAAAAGATGTTCCTCGAACGATGTGTCCCTGGCAGCCTAGCCCCGGGCACAGCAACAACCGTTGGGCAAATAAAGTTTAATCAACTCAACTCATTACCACTTTATAAAGATCGAGCCAAAAAGGTACCAAGTATATTAGAAATAAGAATCACCACCGCTTCCATTAAGGCTTATGAGGCCTCGGATAATAAGAATTATACCTTCATTAGTTTTGAGTGTTCCCCGTGGCAAAGCGCACATGCAGCTTTCAACAATGCTAAAACATGCTAATAGCTCAGGCGTAATCGTACCTTTCAGTCGGAGATCATGCACTCTTTTTCTGCACGCAGCCCAAACATCGAGATGAAAACTCGCAGATGATTGCGTCAAATACATTTTCACCTTGACTAAAATGTTGAATGCTGATGTTCTGTCGACAACTGATTATTGCCCCTGGCCCACGAGTGCCAATGTTTTCGCAAACAAGATGCATTGTTATTTACACCGCCTACACCCCACACAATATTCTCTTTCATCGTCTGTAAAGGTGAGCTAATATCCTCAGTGCATTTCAATGCGCGCTACATGCCACAACTACTGCACATCTTCAAAGACAATGCCACTGTGCTTTGCACAGGCCGCCACTTGTGCTCACTTCCCCAAAATAAAGAGCCAACCAGCATGGCAAGTTTTTAGTCACGCAGTTTACTGCACACTTTCTCTGATACATACTACAGCTCATCTTGCCCCAGTACGATGAAGTTTAAGCTTTAAGACAAAGAAAAAGCTTGCCCCAAGCACCGTGCAACTATACCATGCTAAGCCATAAGCAGGGGTGTTTTGCCAACCACCACCTTACACGTGCGTCAGTGACATCAGGCTATCAGAGAGGTCTATTAAAGTGACACTACAGTGAATGAGTCTATTTAGATGGGTAAATTATACACTGAGAACTCTAATGTCAATAATTTTGCCATCTTAGCCTAATTAATTAACGGAGAAAAAAATGTAGGTCAAAGTTTCATGTTCAACCTTCGTGCTTAAATCGCTGCACTTGACGTCACTGATTTCAAGGAGTTTAATTCTTGAATTTTGGTGACATTCACTCAACAAAACAGGAACTTTGCATGTTAAATTTATGGGGCCCTCTAGGAGAACAATGTACTTGATTTACGCTTAGGAAAAACGCAGAGCCTAGTAGATGCCATCAAAATCTATGACGTCGAGACAGCTGGTGCATGGCATTGCCACCCGCATTTTTGATTCGCACGTTTTCTCACTAAGCATATTTCCATGGCAATTTGGCATCACGAAAAGGTCATCCCTCTAAGGGACAAAATGTACTGTGTCCCACGATAGCTATCAGCCTCTTCCCTAGCTCTGTCTGTTTCTTCCCATGACAACGTATGGCAGTGAAAATGACATAAATAATATAACAAGGCCAAAAATTTCTGTTATGTCCGAAGTTGTTATTTTTTCTCCACGGTAGTGCTAGAACTAATTTTCAGGGGATTTCGGGCAGTGCCCATAAAAATGCGCACACTGTTTGAAATTTGGGGATTTTGCGGGCAAAGAAGGTGAGCTGGCAGGTATGTAGTTAAGGGTAAGTGCTCCTCAAAGCCCAACACAGTATTGCGGCATGATGAAACAAGAACAAAATACAGCCCGAACTCAGATTGAAAAGTATATGCAGGCAACTTACGCTTTGTGTAAATGTCCTTGAAGACAAATTGGCCAACGTGACTCACGTCCACAGCAAATTCTAGAATGAGTTATAAAGAAAAAGGATCACAAGCCATCATCAGGCTATGATTTGGTGCTATCCGGTGTACTTTCAAGTAATGCCTTTGTAAAGAACGATCAAATTAATAAAATTTTTGACGGCGAACCGCGCATTCGCTTTCCATAAGAAAATTCGAGTGTCCACGTCCAGTGCAATCAAAACAGACATTCAAAAAAAAAAAACAATTAACTAACGTCATCCCCTTGAGTAACTGCTGGTGTGACTGTTCACACAGCTGTTGCTACACAGCCCAAAATGCGTCCGAAATAAGAAAGACAGTGATTGCTGCAATAAGAAACAGTGGTTACCGAATTGACTAGGTAAAAGTCAGATAAAAGATACAAAACGACGTGGGTTTGCTGTTTAAAGTAAATCAGCAGCCGGCTTCAGTACAATGAAAATCAGCCGTGCGCTGGGAAAAACGCGGTTTACCAGAACTGCGCACTGCATTCTTGTGGAAAGTTTCGTGTTTGTCGAGACAAACCCTTACTTTTAAACAAAAACAAAAATTGCGCCACTAAACATCAGAGAAGTGGCAAGCCACGAAACACTTTGTATCTTCTACGAGGATGACTTTTCGCGCAGAACTGAGATTCGAGTGTGCTGTGACGCCGTTTCAATGGCCCACGTCTTCAACGGACAAAAGCCTGCAAAACCTGACAGCTCCATGTTGACCGACGTACGACGAACACATGTCAGCGCCGAAAAAACTTACCTTCGGCACATCGTGTTCGCCAGATGTTTTCTATAACACTCGCTTTATAAAATGAACGGCACACTTGAGCGACGGAGGCGATGTCTTTACCATTTAGGTAACTGAAGATTTTTGCTAAGAGCTCAGGCGGGAAAGACTCCATGGCGAATGTACCGAATCTACTGATAGCACTAACGCTAACGCTTCTTGGTCGAAAGGCTGAACAAAATACACGCATTTTTGCTTTCGGCCTTACGGTAAGTGGTTTTCATTCTGCATAATACAAACTTTATTCGCATTTTTTGTGGTATTTTGCACTTTGCGTACAGTATTTACTGTAGTTAATAAGGTAATAATTATTTAGAAGTTTTTTTTGTTATCTCTACTTTCTTGTATGCAACTGCACTCGTGTTTTGTTCTGAACAAATCTTACGATAGAGAAACTCTAGACCTGTGCATGTAATTTTTTTTACTTAATTGCCTAGCGGGAGCACTGTTCTTGAGTTGTTCTGCGTAAACTTTCTCTTTTTTGAGAATGATTGTTGACCTTTTGGTACATTCGTTTTAGAGCAAACTCCAATGCGGAGTCACAAACGCAACAAATGCAGCCAACGCACTGAAGCAACTTCGGCGACACGAACCATCATCTTTCTAGCTTCAACGCACCCAAATGCGGTTGTCCGCGAGTACTTACCGAAGAACTTGCCATAGGTAGACTAGTAGGTGTTCTGTGGTGTAGATCATACTCCGATGTCACAAGCCGCTCTTTGCCGTTGGGGCTCTGAAAGGAAGTCCCGGAGTTCTTCTGAGGAACTCCATAGGAACTCAATAACCATTCATTGATGACAGCTGGCCTCCTCCCATTGGTTCAATAAATGTGGTAGACTCTTCTACGATTGGCCTCTTCTAGAAAACACAGCCGGACATGCTGATGCTGATGACCTCTGATGGATGGCGCTTACCCACAAAGGGGGATGGCCAAGAACCGGGCGGCAGGATACTTAAATGAAACTAAACTGGAAATGAAGCCAATCTGAAAGTAGCTTAAAATAATATTACCAAAAAACAAAAAAGTGTGCTGAGCAAGCGGTCAAACCATCCTTTGTTTTTGAAAGACATAACTACGAATTATAAACTAAAGATCTGAAAAGGTAGTGGTTCACTAGCATGGTAATCTTTTAGTTGCGTTGATGTAATCAAACACAGCGGAGCATACATTTGATTTGTTTGTAGCCTGAGGACTGTGACACATACCCACTACTCTGGGGAAAAGTTGGCCAAGAAAATGTAGAACCATGCCGTTTTCTTTCCTAATCGCACAGTTGCTCATTTTCATATTTTATATGAACATCATGCCAATAGTGTTGTTAGCATTGTGTTTATTATAACAGTACAGGTACTTGAGCTCGTTATTTGCGTTAGCAAAACGTGTTCAACGAGTCTTGAACACTTCGATCTTGTCGGCTTCATGCGCGATACATGAACTTTCGAGCTTCGCTGATGAAAGGAAGCAGTTCCGCATGCACCTAGTAGTAGTAGTAGTAGTAGTAGTAGTAGTAGTAACAACGATAGTTATAGCGCGAGAACAGAACGACAACAAAGAGACAAGAAGGACACGAAGGACAAGAGGGACGAAGGACTTTCTTGTCTCTTTGTCGTCGTTCTATTCTCGCGCTATAACTATCGTCATGTCATACCAACTAGCCCAAGCTGCCACACTTTTTAGTAGTAGTAGTAGTAGTAGTAGTAGTGATAATATTAGTAATTGACTGTTATTTTAATAGTAATAGACCAGTCGACGATGTTTTACTGACGCTGTTCTTCGCCTTCGGCACCTTTTAGCATTTGTTATATTCAATGTGGCAACTACACAAATAACTCCATGACTTTAGTGATGTGTGCACTCTGTTATTCATTGTAGCAACTGTATAAACAAGTGGTTGCTATGAAGGTGGGTTCGAGATTATTCTTGGTTGCTCGTTGCTGTGTGTGTTTCGGCGGTTTCGGTACGCATGCGTGTGTGATTGAAGGTGGTGGCAGGGTATCCTCACTCAACATGCAAAAGACAGGTGAGCATTCATTGTTCCTGCTCCTCACTCGACTGCTGTGCGTACTCAGACGCGTATCACACTGGTTGCTCAATTATTTTTGTCAAAAACACCATTCGCGTGTTTGCGCGATTTTGAAAAGTGCATTCGAGAGGTGATTAGGCTTAGTTTCTTTATCAAGTCGCAGTTAGTGCGAAGTGCGCACACTTTGAAGCTTCTCAGTAAGGTGTCGTGCCGGTATATGCACGAAAGTAAGCGCTCCAAAAGCTTCAGCTGCATTTAGGGTGTATTCTAATGACTCGCTGTCACGAAGCGCCCTTTAGGTGTGGTTCAGCAAGGTGCAAGACCCCGGCTATTGTTTGAAATCCGGGCTTTTCCACTGAACACTGCGCCGCCGCCGAGTTTTGTTGCTTGATTTTTGTTTGATTTCAGTCGCTTCATTTTGCAATGCATTTCACCTTGTTGCTGTGCTCTGAAACTCATTCGATGCCGAATCGGAGAGTTGTGAAATCCCTGCTATTACTGTGAAAATCGCCGCTATAGCGGTTACATGGATTGGTTTGCCACCATAGAACCGGCCCATTGAACGTTGGACGGCTCATCGCTTGCCGCGCTCTCTTTCGTAGCCAATAATTTGGAGGAGAAGCGCGCTGTGCGTTTCGTAAATTAATTTCGCTCCTTGTAATGAACCTTACCTTGCATTTATTGATTAGCTGATGCTCATTTGCTCTTTCTTTTTCTTCGTACATTGGTTCATGAGGTCGATTGGTGTGCTGCGCTCACTGTGAAACGCGAGGGTTTTGAAAAGTGTAAAATATTTTTGTGAATGTTGGACAATTCAAAGGAAATTATGAGGAGAGAAAGAGGGAAAAGAACGAGCTGTAATAAGCGTCGGAGGAATTTAGTAGCGGAAGGAGCCTTATCGGCGCGTTGCCGACGAAGCAAATCTGTGGGCCGGACGTTGGCAGAGGCCGGATGGGCACCATAAGCAAAAGGCGCCGATGTCTTATTGTTTACGGAGTCAAGGAAAGACCGCGAGAGCGGATACTGTCTAGGGGCGAGGCGCCTCGGTGCGTGCTCTTCGCTCGGCCGGGGCGATGGTAACCTAGTTGCCTTGGCAACGAGCGTCGGTTGCACACCGACTGCTCGAGCATGATTCACGCACCCTTGTCCTGTGAACGATAATAATGAGGATGGGAGCGTGTCGTCGCAGAGGAAACTGGTGGCTGTGAGCACCCAGTATTTGCAGGGGGAACGGGGACGAAATCACGGCGACTACGGCGTGACAGTGCATCCTCCGCAGCGGCGCGCGTCCCAGTGCCGCGAGACCGAGAGCCGGCTCTCCTATGCGAACGATCTTGGTGTGCATTTAACCGTATACTTCCTGTCGCGCTGGTTTATGTTCTTGCGCAATATATACATATTGCAGCTTGTTGCATGCATATTTCATGTCGGAAAGCTGCAAACGACGTTCGCCGCTTGAGAAACTGTGCAGTTTGGTTGCAGGTGTGAGCTGCGGTCGATAGTGTTCATGTGTTTGGATATAAACTGGAGCCTTCTTCTTACTAGATGGGGCATTCCTATGTAATTGAATTGGCCAGCGTGCTTTTTTTTTAAAAATCTCAGGCGTAATGTTTCTCGATATTTGATGCATTGCCAATGCTTTTGGAGAAAAATTAAAATTCAGAAAGAGAAATAAACGGTACAGGATGTTGAAGACACGCGTTCCCTTTTGTGGTTCATCATTTTTTCAATATGCATTCTCTTTGAGAGAACTCGATAGGTATCAAGTATTACTAATTAGCCAGGTGTTCTTTCATATGGGTTGGTTTGCCGATGTAAAATGCAAAATTTGAATATGTTTTGTTTCTGCAAAACCTGTCACAGCTAACCACTGTGACAAGTAAAATACATAAAAACAAGCCTAATGTTTAGCAGTCGGCATTCATACCTTGCATATTGAGCACTCTTTATACAGCAATTACTTCAATAGTTATATAATTCTGACACCAGCTCTTCAGGTGGCATTTTAATGAAATCAGCAAGCTTTTTTACTTAGGTGCATTGAAACAGACCCAATGCTAGATAATTAAAATTAGTTCCAAGTTTTCCACCACTGCGTGTCTTATCGATAGTATTTATAGTGTGTAAAACCTCCAATGTTTTTTGTTTAACGAAAGTCCTTAAAATTATTGTTCTGTCATCAGCTGTGTGATCCACTGTAATATGAAAGCCACTGTTGTCCACCATATTGGAACTTGAGAAACTGGAACCATTTTATAGTGTTCTTAATGTTTGGACGTCAGGGATTAGCCTGTGGAACCCATACTACACTTTTGCCTTATGCATCTGTTAGCAAACCTTACCTTCTTTTATGATCACTCTACTTATCTGGCTTAACTCTTTCCTTCAGACACTATGGTACTCCTTTATTTATTCCAGGGGAATGAAGAACGATCTGTCATACCATGTGTGTTGTTATGCAAGTTAGACTGCAAAACATGGTCTGTTTGTGTAATTTCAGTGCTAAGAGCCCACATAACTTGGTACTTTGGCAAGTGTTGGTACTTAAGTCGTAGCACTGTAACATGTCAAGTGGGTAATATGGCTGAGCTTGTAATTACTGTTGGGACTGTGAGCATAATTTGGTGTGATAGGACTCCTGTCCTGCAATTCATCGTGTAAGGAGCTTGAGTATACATTGTTCTCTATGTATTTCTAGATATTAATCTGCATATTTATAGGGTGCCATGTCAGAGTTATGCTTGGTAAAGTTGGAATGCTATGATACCGTACCCTACTCCCATTTACATATTGCTGCTTGATATGTTCTAGTCTTCACCCTATCAGGCCTTCCTAAATTTAACGGTTTTGTCTTGCTGTGGTGACTTATACCCCTGCTACATAGCAAACGTAATGTCATTTTACCTGCGTGCTGTCACATGACAGAAACAAATATCATCTTGAAATGATGACCATGACCTGAGCCCTCCTCAGCCGTCGATTTTGGGAGAAATAAAAATATACTAAAACTTGCATGCAACATACATGTATCCACAAAAATAATTTTTATGGGTAAAATGTGCTTCACAATATAAACGCGGCTGTTTTACACAACTTGTCACAGCTG